GTGTGTGTGTGTGTGTGTGTGTGTGTGTGTGTGTGTGTATGTGAAAATATGAAAATTGCAAATGTATATATTATAATATATGGTACTTATATTACAGTGTGCAACAAAAATATTGTAGTTTTTTTTTCACACATAGACAACTCAAATTGTTCGCAAAAATATCTACATAACATTTCGTATCAAAGCAAAGCAGTATAATTTACTTACTAATCTTGTCGTAATGTTATCATGATAATGCAAAAACATTTGCTAAATAAAATTTTGCTTGCATGTTGCCATAATTTTGTCAAATTAATATTTGTACTTTTGATAATAAGCAAAATCGCTTCAATTTTGCCGAAATATTGCCATAATCAAATACTTTTACCACAATTGTTGCCGCAAAGTTACTGTAAAGTTATTTTACTACAATTTGTGCTTTTTTTTTGCTTGCAACATTTTTGAGCAAATTTTCAACAAAAGGCTAGCAAAATGTTATCTGGGTAGAGATAAAATGTAATACAGGCACACGTGTCATTCCGCGATATCGTTTTCGTTTTTTACGTACATTTGAAGTTTTATGCATATTTAAGGTTACTTCGGTGCGAGATAAAATTTTGCGATTGTCTGAAAATCATAAAGTCCGGAATATACGCCGCACCTAATAAAAATTTAATTTATTATTAAAGTATTAATTTATTATTAAGTATTATTTACTATTTTTAAGGTAAACGAATTATATCAGCAAAATGGTACTGTCTATTATTATGAAAAAAATATTAGAAATCAGAAATACTAATTTTTCGTATTAAAACAAGAAATTTTTGGAATCTTTGCATTTTTGCCGTATATTTCGTACGGATGGGATACATGGAGAGAATTTTGTTTTAAAATTTACCCCGAAAATATGATAGTTGTGATACAATACAATATTTAAAAAATTGTTACCATGCACTTCAGTAAAATTATTCAAACTTATTTTATACTTTATTATAGTTTTATTAATGAATAAGAAAATGATAAAATTAAAATGATTGAAGCAAAGCAAAATGGTGAAAATATGAAAATTGTTCAAAATTTTCAACCTTTCTATGAAAGTGATCATAATACATTTTCCTTAAAGTTTTCTTAGTAAGTATACTAGTTTTTCTAGTAAAACTTACAACGTTTACGAATTATTGAAAGCTGTTATTATTTTTACAATTTTTTGGGTAAGAACAGAACTGAAAATTATAAAGAAGCTGTAGCTGAAATAATTGCTGCATTTCGTAAAATAGGAATCAATATGTCGTTGAAAATCCACTTTTTGCACAATCATTTGAATTTCTTTCCCAATAACTTGAGCGATTTTGATGATGAGTGTTTCCATTAAGATATTGGCAATCGAATAACGCTTCAAAAGAAAAAACTCTCGCCACATACTTATAGCGAATACTGCTGGTTGATTGACGCGACATACAATAAGATCAGCATAAATGCCAAAGCAAAACGTTTATGTTTTCTCACGAAATAATTTATTTTTTTGTACGTTCAATTAATAAATCTTTTAACTTTAAAATTTAAATTAACTTAAATAACTTTAAATTCAATTTCCTTTATTTTGTTAGAAAAACGAGTGATAAATGTTTTACTCAAATGAAATCATGCAGAATATATTTTCTCATTAATATTCACAAAGAAAATCATAGAAAAGCTGAAAAAGGAGAAATTTAAGCAATTTTCGACTAAAATGCAAATTTTTCACCATTTTGCTCTATTCAATCGATTTAATTTGATCGTTTTCTCATTCAGCGATCAATTTTACATGGAAATACATAATTTTCGAATAATCGCAAAATTTTATCTTGCGTCGCAGACAAAATAACTTCCTCTAAACTTCGAACGTGCACAAAAAAGTAAATTATTTGATATCGCCGAACGAAACACATGCTGGTATTAGATTTCATCTCCACTTTCAAGGAGAATTTAATTTTTTTATATGTGAAAAATGCTGTCGCACAGTGTTATAAAATATAATAAATTATCTGCGTAGTAAGACTTGAAGATTCTTGGACTAGCCATGAGAGACTTGACATAGTCACTATCTTTGTACGTTATGTTTGTGTGACAATTACTAAAATATTTTTCTGATAATATACATGTACGATAATATTCAGATTATGTATAAGGTATAAATGAAACTCACAATAATGTAAGAATTTCATAATGTTAATATTTGTGGATATATGAAATAGATTAGACTGCATCAAATTATACTTATATTCAAATTATACTTATATTTTACAATCTTGGAAAAGTTTTATAATAGAAAAACTTCCAATTTAAAATTAAAAACAAATTCTTTGCTTCCGTTAGATTGGATCTATTATTTTGAATCTTTATCTTTTGATTAATTTTTTGCATTCTGAAACCAAGAAAAATTTTTTAAATAACTTATTTTAAATAAATATTAATAGAAAAATGTTTCATCATAATCATATCAAATCATATTTATAAAATGTTTTTGTGTAAGTAAAACATTTAGATCTACTAAACGATCAGATTTATATCTTTTCCGAGATATCTACAAACAGAAAAAATAAACCTACTGATAGATTATTATCAATTTCTCAAATAAAATTATCTGCATGTTTCTATAAATTTACGAGAATCCGTCACAGTAGTTCTAGTTTTCTTAAAGTTAGGTGTATTTGGAGTCTTGAAAATTTTCGGTATCTAAGTTATTGTTAATATTATTTTACTTGAATAAAGTTTTGTACGTATCGATGCTAATTACATTGAAAGATATACTACAATTTTCTTTTAATATTGTTCATTGTATTGTACATTCAAATGTTATTACTCTAATGCAATCAGATATTGTTAATTTATTTTTTTTTATCAAACATTTGCAGCAAATTTCTCCGTTACAATGAAATACTTGATATTCGCTTTAATGGTTTTTACGGTCGCTATCAATAGCATAACAACTGCTCCTAGTTTTATGGATTCTTGCTCTGTCTTAGGACAAATCGTAAGTATAATAGAAAGTAATTAACATTTGATTCCTTTTATATAAAAATGCGTGTACATATATTTTTATAACTTCAGCTATTTTAAATTTTTTGTCATTTTAGCTACTTATACAATAATATAATATATTACATCACGTATACATTTATAATGCAATATGTACATTTACACGCAAGATTTTGCTACATAACCAAAGAAATGACCATCAATTCGAAGTCGAATGAACGTCAATTCGATGTTGAATTGATGATTTCGACGTCGATTCGACATCGAACTGACGGTCTTTTCTCACTGAGTAATACATTATTATAATTGTAGTGTACGATGAACCCATGCTGTCCTGATTTAACATGCTCGACGAATTTATCTACATGTGTTTCTATGCTATCAGAGGTTGTACGCTATGTCCTCGAAGTAGAAACTAGAGATTCAATTTTATCGATACCATATCGTTTTCATATTTTACAAAATAAATAATTACATATATACATATACGTTTATTAATGCGTTTTTAACACAATTTATTAAGCAATTTGTCTCATTGTATATTTATTATGATTATACTTATATTGCATTTTTGCTAGTTGTAATGTTTTATTGATCAATAAATTAAGTAAATTAACACAGTTAAATTATTATATATA